GAGCCGGAGTCCTGCGGGCGGGCGCTGACCCGCGCCCGGGGATGCAGGCTCCGCTCGGCCCGGCCCAGCTCCCCGCCCCCATCCCCGGGCGCGGGCACCATTTTAGGTCGCGACATCCCGCAGCCTCCAGTCCCCGGGCCGCGCTACGGCTGCCTCTCGGGCCGGGGCACCAGGACGTGGGGCCCCCGACCCGTCCTCCACGTTTACCCGGCTAAGGGCTGTGCTTTCAACAGGCAGGGAGTTTCGCCGTCCGGCTCAGGACGGAGGCGGTGTCCGGCCTTCCTAGAAGCCGCCCCAGGGGGCGGCACGGAGAAGCGGGTAGTTGCCCAAGTGGGGGAGGGGCGGGGGTTTACCCGCCCCCCCCGGGGGGGCGGAGCCGAGGGCGGGTATTTATCCCGGGCGCGCTTACTTGTTCCGTTCGTACTGCGAGCCGAGACGCAGCGGTCTCTACACTGCTCCAGCAGCCGCCGCCGCCCTCCCCGGGGCCGCCGCTACTTCCTGCTTCTCTCCGGTTCGGCCTCCCTCCTCCCTGAGCTCCCTCCGCGCTCCTGGCCCGAGCTGCCCGCTTTCATACTCGCCATTGGCCAGTTGCCCCGTCGTTCAGGCCTGCGCCCCGCCCCGCCCCGGGCTGGGTTGGTCTTAAGTACTGCCGCTCGGAGCTAACCCCGCACAGTCTGCTCATCCTCACTGGGCTACGGATCTAGGCCCCCTGAAAAACCTTCTCCTCATTGGCTGCTCCGAAGTCCACGTGCCCAATATGCGCGTCTCAAGAGCGATTGGTCCTCACTACTGTCGCTCTTAGAAAGAAGCCACCCTAATTCCCCCTTTTCCGACCGCAGGGGTAACTCTCCCAGGTGAGACTCCGCCCCCTCACTCCCTATTGGCTGTTCGAGGCTGCAAACTGCAGTTCTCTTGTGCACATTTAAAGAATTCTTGAGTTCCGCTGTGGTGGCCACTTCGAGAACCTTGTCGACTTCGAGGAGGCCCTGGATCTTTGGATCTGTTTGCGCCGTTTTCTCGGGGGCCAAACTCCAGTGTCAGTGATGCCGCGCGGAAGTCGCAGAATGGGCCGCCGCTCCAAGCATGACGTCACCGGCTGCCCACTGCCTCGCGCTCTGCCCACTGCCTCCAGCGTTGTGTAACCGGACGCGTGGAGCCCGCGCACCGCCAGTCCCGGGCGCCGGCGTCACCTGCAGCTCCGCCCTCCGCGGGGAGGTTCGGATGGGTACGGGATTTGAACGTGGAAGGAACCAGGACCTGGGGGCCGGGCCGGGTTTGCGGACCGGAAGTGGGGAGGGGTGAGGCCGGGAGTGCCGGCGTGGCCGGGCCGCTCCTCAGGGCCCGAGGGCCGCTCCGGATAGGGTTTGGGCGCGGGGGAGGAGCCCCGCTCGGGCGGCGGCGGGAGCCGGGTTGAGCGTTCCCGCGCTTTGTTGCCCCGCCCCCCGGAGGCGGGAGAGGGGAGGAGCCGCCTCCCGAGCCGGGGGCTGCGGACGTTCTGGTCCTCGCTAGGGCGCCCGAGGACCCCGGACCAGGACACGGCGCTCCCCGAGTCTCCGCGGTCCAACGACTCCGTCGAGGTGTTAACAACTTCTGGATAGGAGTCTTGAGATCGCACAGAGGGTGACATCGGGCAAGTCGCGTGACCTCTCTGTTTTCTCATGGGTAAAAGGTTTATAATACCGACAGGGCAAGATTGTTTCTGTAAGGAGAGTTTAAAATGTACACGCGTATTATAAAGTGGTGGCATTCGAGTTCGAGGCCAGCTTGGGCTACACAGTGAGTTCAAGACGAGCCTGCACTGCATAGTGAGCCCCTGTCTCAAAAAGACAATCAGTGAATCAATCAATAAAGGGGTTGCAGATGGGACCGTGACGCCCACCTTCCCCGCCCGTCCCGGGCTGCATGCCGTTGCTCCAACTCACCAGGTTCGTCTCAGCACTGATGGTGAGCCTGCAATATAGTCACTCCAGAGGCTGAGGCACAAGAGTCACACCTTCAAAGGCTGTGTGCAACCAAACCCAGGCTCAAAATTTTAAAAGGGGTGGGGACATAGTTCGACTGTCGCTATATTCTATTCCCAATACCATAAATAAATAAATTCTAAAGGTCCAGAAAGCTAAACACTATTTTATACAGTCTTTTGCCAAGAGAATTCTAGATAAAAATTTGTTCTTCAACTAGGTACCCTTCTCATTCCATGAATATTTTAGCCACTGTGGTGTACGCATGTAATTCTAGCTAATCAGGAGGCTGAGTAAGGAGGATCAAGAGTTCCAGGCCAGCCTGGGCAACTTAGTGAGACCCTGTCTCAAAATTTGAAAAGTAGCACGGGCTGGGGATACAGCTCAGCGCTAAGGTCCCGGTATCATGCACGCATAAAAGAAGGTGGGCATGGTGGCTGTATCTAGATGTCCCCACAAAGCTTCATTCGCTCATAGGGGTGGGGTTGAATCAGGGGTGTATGACAACTAAATTAATGTACTGATTGGCGTAGCATAGTTATGGGTGTGGGTGGCACCAACCAGTAGGCTTGTAGCCTGGATGGAATATAAAGAGAAAGATGGGAAGAAGGTTTGCTGCTCTCTGCCCTGCCATGGACTCTTTCTCCTCTGCCGTGTCACCCTGCCTTGAAGCCAGTTGACTATGGACTGAAACGGTATGTCCGTGCGTCTTGGAGTTTTGACCTTGGGTACTATATGAGATTCTTGACTGGTTCCTTGTTGCTTCCCCTCCTCTGCTTCCCAGGTAGCCAAGAGCTAAGCATCTTTGCTGTGCCAGCCTCCAGTCCTGAAATCTGAGCCAAATTAAACCTCCTCCTTTAAATTGTGGGTCAGGTATTATGTCTAGCAGTGGGAAAGCTGACTAATATAAATCCCTAGGGCCAAAAAACTAATAACAGTAATTCAACCAATATTTCTTGAACACACCTCTGAGTTGCAGTTTCCAGCACTGGGAATACCTCAGTGGACAGAGCAGACAAGAATCTGTCCTAACCAGGTGCAGTGAGGACAGCTGGGATCCCAGCTACTTGCCAGGCTGAGGCAGAAGAATCACTGGAGGCCAGGTGTTTGCGGCCAGCCTGGGCAGCATGGTGGTGGTGGAGGGTCCTTGTCATGAAACGCTTTTTTTTTTTTTTTAACTTTTGCCATGCTGAAGATTGAACACAGAGCCTCACATTCGGTAGGTAAAGGTTCTACCACAAGGAAGCATCCCAGCTCCTTTTAACTGGTTTGTTTTTTGCTTTGTTTTGTTTGGTACTGGGAATCTTGTGCTTGCCAGGCAGGTGCTGTGCTGCTGAGCTACATCCCCAGCACCTTGTATTTTATTATTTTGAGAGAGGGTCTTGCTAAGTTACCCAGTTAACCTCAGACTTGTGATCATCCTGCCTCAGTTTCCCAAGCAGCTGGAATTACAGATGTGCACCACTATACCTGGCATAAAACATATTTCTTTGTAGAAGACAAACAACATTTTATAAATAAAATATATAGAAGCATGTTAGAAAAGATAACTGCAAAGGAGGTAGAGCTCAAACCATGAAAAGACGTGACCCTTAGATGCATATGATAAAGTGAAAGGAGGCAATGTGAAAAGGCCACCTACTGTGCGGTTCCCACTATGGGACATGTTGAAGAAGGCAGAACTACAGAGACAGGACAAAGATCAGCAGTTGCCAAGGGCTTGGGTGGAGGGAGGGAAGGATGAGTAGGTGCAGCACAGGGGACTAAAACTAGTCTGTATGATCCTGCAATAGTGGATATGTGACATTATACATTTGTTAGACGCCACAAAGGGCCAGGGATATAGCTCAGCGGCATAGCACCTGCCTGGCAAGTGCACAGTTCTGAGTTCAAGTGCTGGTGTAAAAAAAAGCCATAATGTACAATACAAAGAATGAGGTGTGGCTGGGCACGCATCTGTAATCCCAGCACTCTAGAGACTAAGGCAGGAAGATCACTGAGTTTGAAACTACCCTGGACTATAGAGCAAGACCCTGTCTCAAAAAAAAAAAAAAAAAAAAAAAAGTGAGCCGGGCATGGGGGCACATGCCTGTAATCCCAGCACTCAGGAGGCTGAGGCAGGAGGATCGATGTGAGTTCGAGACCAGCCTGGGCTACAAAGTGAGCTCAGCGCCAACCTGAACTGCATAGCAAGACCCTGTCTCAAAAAAACAGGAAAAAAAAAGTGAAGCATGATGTTAACTTATTTAATAATAATGTATCAGTATTGGTTTAGCCTGAAATCTGCGCCAATGTGAGTCAGTAAGAATCAAGAAGGTCGAGGGGAGGGGATCTATGGGAACTGTCAGTACTTTTTATGCCCAATTTCTTTAAGTAAACCTAAAATGGTGCTAAGGAATAAAGTATAATCATTTAAAAAACAGAAATTTAAAGCTGGGAAGGAAGCAGGAAGTGGGGAAGGGCTGTAATTCTAGATAGGGTGGATAAGCGAAGACCGAGGCGATAATGTGGCGATTAGCAAAGGCCAAGGGAGTGAGGTGTGAGCCCTGCAGCTGCCTGGACCAGGAGCAGTCCTGGAAGAAAAAACAGGGATCCTCATGTGGGAGGAGGGGGTTGGGACTGGGCTGAACTGGACTCCTGGGAGGTCTCTGGCACTTTCTGAGTGGAACAGGAAATGCAAAAGACACACAGGTGGAGCCAGGGTGCCCCTCAGTGGCAGAGAGCTTGCTAGCATGTGTGAGACCCTAGGTTCCTTCCCCAGTGCCCCAGAGAGGGGCCAACAACATGTTGACCTGACTTTGATTTATTTTGTCGGGGGAGTAAGGACAAGAATAAAACTCAGGACCTCGTGCTTGCCAGGCAGGACCTGACTTTTAAAAGGGCTGGAAGTAGGGTAGAGAAAGAGACTCAAAAACATGGGCCCAGTGCAGCACAAAAATGATGTTGACATTTCCTGAGCTGTGAAGACACAAGGAGACAGGGGTTTCAGGCCTTCGGTTGTTAGTGCCATTTCTGTCACATTCTTACACATCCAAGTGGACACAGAAATGTGCCCATCCATCAGCTTACAGACAGTTTTTAAAGAACAAGACAGAGGGGCTGAGCATTTAGCTCAGCGGCAAAGCGCCTGCCTGGCAAGCGCAAGGTCATGAGTTCAATTCCTGGTACCGGAAGAAAAACAAACAAACAAGCAAAAAACAAGGCAGAGTACAGGAGATCACCAAGGGATCGCAGAGAGGGAAAAGAGAGAAAGTCCGTGGACTGAGCCAGGTTGAAAGGCCAGGGGGACAAGAACAAGCGAAGGACACTGAGAAAGAACAAACTGAGGAAGGAGGGGACAAGGAGAGTGTTGTGGCCTTG